AGATTATTCCTTTGTTTCTTCTTCTCTTTCATCATTGTATTGACAGGAACATCTATCTTAATCTGATCATTGGTATACATTCTACACATGATTTTCGATTCCACCCAAAGTACAATGATGACAAGGACTCCTAAGTTGCTGACACGAATCATTCCTATATACCTAACAAAAGGCTACTCTGGACAAAATATCCTGTCCAGCACTGGTGGCAAATCAGCAGTGCGTCTCCTATTACTCCCAGTTGCCCCTGGACGGCGTCTCACTAGCTTTTGCACTGTATCTACCTTTCTGGCTTATTCTGGGGAGGGTGGTGCTCCGGCTTTTGTCTGTATCCACATTTCACATAGTTTGATCCTGAAACACCAGCACATGCAGACACCAGTGACAGCCCTGTGCTCGGAGGGACTCTTGCAGGGACATGCAGTTTTCCTTGTTTCCCAGCTATGCTTCAGGAGCACCCAGAGATCCAGTCCAGGGCGGTAACGTACAGACCCCATGAGAGTACTTTTCATCCCCTGCTCTTAACAAATCAAAACCCCAGAGTACAGAGAGTCAGGTACTGGCAAAGAGGCAATGCTGTTACTTATCCACAATCATACATGGCGTAGTCATCTTGCTAGGTCAGCAGGGAGAGTTTTCACTCGATCTGAAGGTACTTTATTAATACTACTGCCTCGTAGAGCATATCATTTAGATTTCATATCGGAATAATCAGGTTGTAGAGTCTCACAAAACCCACCAAAATGCTTACAGACCTTTGCACTGAGGGCCCGTTTGGGGTTTGACATATGTGCTGGGTCACACTCGGGATTCACACATTTTACCACGTATGCTGGATGCACCAAACCTGTAAAGTCTTCTGGAATGGGTGGTGCTTTTAATTAACACTACAACTCTGTCCCACACAGTGAATAGTTTTACTCAATCAAAAGGGCTACTGAGTAGCTTAGGCTACGTAGAGATAAATCTTGTAAATATTCCTCTGCTGAATAACCCTTCTCAGCAACCCCCGTCTCATTTATATTGCTTTGAGGTCAGGCAGGAAGCATTGCTTTGGGCTGAAAATTAAGTTTTTTAAGATTTTTTATAAGGTCTCTAATACTTATAATTTTAGAGATTTAAAACAGATTGCTATTGTCAGTTTTGCATTCTGAAGGGCACGAGTCTGTGTGGGAATGTCATTGGTGTTGTGACGTGGCTGGACCATGAACCTTATAGCACATAGTTTGCTCCATGTTTCACTGACAGCTCTGATGCGATAGGAAAGTCAGAGGGCCAGACACACACTGTATGCAAACAGGAAAATAATTTCTGCTGGGATCTGTAAATAAATGGTAAATAGTTTCACACCTTTGCTGTAGCCTGCTGTCAGCAACAACAGGGTGTGCTTAACAAGAACTGTACACAGAGAAAGGCTCCTCGATAAATTCTTTGTGACTAGGAGATATCCAAGACTCTACCTGGCTGCTCCAAGACAGAAGCCTGCCAAAGAGGAAAACCAGAATATGAGGAGCATGCACAAGAAACTCGTGTTCTCTAAGACTAAGCAGTGGTGTGACAAGCCTCACCAAAGAAATTATGGTCACGCACATTTACCAAAAAGAGGGAAAATTAAACCAGAACCTGACTCAGGAAAATCTCAGTGCTTCACAGAATCATGGAATCATAGAATGGCTTGGGTTGGAAAGGACCTAAAGATCATCTAGTTCTAACCCCCCTGTCATGAGCAGGGACACCTCCCACTAACCATGTCCCCCAGGGCTCTGTCCAACCTGGCCTTGAACACCACCAGGGATGGAGCATTCACAACTTCCTTGGGCAACCTATTCCAGTGCTTCACCACCCTCACAGTAAGAACTTCTGACTTATATCTAGCCTAAACTTCCCCAGTGTAAGTTTAAATGCATTACCCCTTGTCCTATCACTACAGTCCGTAATGAAGAGTCCCTCTCCAGCATCCCTATAGACCCCCCTTCAGATACTGGAAGGCTGCTATGAGGTCTCCATGCAGCCTTCTCTTCTCCAGGCTGAACAGCCCCAACTTCCTCAGCCTATCTTCATATGGGAGGTGCTCCAGTCCCCTGATCATTCTCGTGGCCCTCCTCTGGACTTCTTCCAACAGTTGCATGTCCTTTTTATGTTGAGGACACCAGAACTGCACACAATACTCCAAGTGAGGTCTTATGAGAGCAGAGGAGCAGGATCACCTCCCTCGACCTGCTGGTCACGCTCCTTTTGACGCAGCCCAGGATACGATTGGCTTTCTGGGATGCAAGTGCACACTACTGAGTCATACTGAGCTTCTCATCAAGCCCGAAGTCCTTCTCTACAGGGCTGCTCTGAATCAGCTCTCCACCCAACCTTCATTGTTAGAGGTTCTTATCTTTGGATTTTGGGAAGGCTTTTACTGTTTATAGCGTTGTCTTGCCTTATGGACAGCCCTGCTCTAGTGACATTTGAGGAGGTACACAAGCCCTGAGGGTGCTCCTGCATCCCTAAATAAAAGAGGGCCAGGGATCAAACTTAGCATCAGCCCTCACCACCCAGGGAACAAGCCGGGGATGACTCCTGAGGACAGCGCACAGCCAGCTCCAGAGATGAACCAGTGGCGGGTAAGGTTCCCCCGAGCCCTCGCATACCATCCCAACTGGCATTGTGCCTTCAGCACCTGCAGTGCCTGCCCCACGTCAGGGCATGCAACAGCCCCTGTCCCCCAGACCTATGCTACGGAAACACCACTCTGGTGGGATTCAGGACAGTTCTTGGGTTATTAGGCAAAATTAACAGTTGTATCTTAGGGTCGGGCGGGTGGGGGGGGGGTGGGGCGCAAACAAGGCCCTGGAGAAACCCATGGCCAAGCACTTGATGGTGTGGTCACAGGTACGTTCTTGAGGGGAGGCTGTGGCTATTAGCATCCTGTATGTGAGCCAGGTAGTGCCCCTTGGCCTGGTGGGAGACAGAAATCTGCTTCATGCTTTTTAGTTTATTGGCATAGGCACAGCCTGCCTGCTCAGTGCTGGCTCTCACCTGTTCTTCTGTGCCTCTTCTGATCTCCCTGGGATGGCATCTCTTGTAAGGTGAAGTTATCTGTCCTCTGCTGCACAGGCAAGGGCAAACCTGGCTTCATTCCATGTGTCAGAGGGTTGAATCAGAAAGGAAAAGATTAAAGTTGCTCATACCAAAGTAAATCTGGCATTTCTTAATTTTGTAAGTGAAACACTGTTCTTCTGGTGTAAAGCAGAGTGTTACAAGTACAAGTTACAAGCAGAGTGTGCAAGCGCTGAGTATGAGACCAGATCCTACCACACAGCTTGACTAGGCCATTCTCTGTCTCTGACGAGTGAGTGCTGTTGCTTGAGTTGTTCTGAAACAGACAAAGGGAGCAAGAGAGAAATCAACAAGGGAGGATGCAAATAAGGAGTATGGGTCTCTGTTGGATTCCCCCAGACTCTGCAATGTTGGGGCTGTGTCTTCTGGTGCCCATACCTAGAAATGCACCTTTGATGCCTGCTGCTGCTTACCTGGTGATTTGGGGCCCAAATAATACTGACTAATCATTTTCCATGGAAACCATAGTTTGGGAAGGCAAAAGGGACCTACTGTACACTGCAGTCTTGCCCCACTGCAAGGTTCAGATGTAGCTGTGTATATGCCTGGGGAGATACAAGCTGGGGTATATGCTAGAATGTAGGTATGGGGGAAAGAAAGTCTGGTGTGGAAGGTGAAGCAGGAAGAATGGCAAGCTGTTGGTTCTGCTGACTATCTAGCTTTGTGGCACAGCAACGCCCAGCCTTAGACAAGTTCAGTGTTGCTGCTGGTCGCGAATGTTGGAGAATTGGCTTCAGTATAAAACAACACTAAAGGCAAACTGTCCCTTCCGCTTCCTTCCTTTACTGCTGTGTTAAAAGGTCAAGGACAAACGTTAAAGCACTGAAGAGTTTGCGGCAAGTGTTTCCTTTGCTCAGCTTCACCCCTTCAGTGTGTTTAGACCCCTTCATGTTAATCTGAACAATGCACCAGAAGATGCTGCAGTTTCTGTAACAGGAGAGCTGCTTTGAATTGGTTTGTGCAGAAGATTTCGGGTTTTGATTGAAACCAGCTAAATAAAAGCAAGTAATACAAATTAGTACGGGTTTTTTTTTTTGAATTCTGGCAAAAATGAGAGCAAAATCCTCAGTATTTTTTGGCTAAAGATGTTCTGGGTTTGGACAAAAGGCTGTTTGGTTTTGGCAGTTTTGGGGTTGCGGTTTTCCTGTTCTTGAAACCTTCAGTTTTTCATTGGCAAAGTAGGCATCTTCTGTGCAACTTCTTGTTGGACTGAAAAATTCCCTTTCTTGGGGTGGCAATTCCTTGAATGGTCCTCCTCAGAGGGAATCTGCTGGCAGGTGCTCCAACTTAGGACAGGATGATGGGAAACACCGAAGGAAACACTTGTGCCTCAGATGCCAGAAAAGGAAAATAAAAGCAAACCACGACATATCATAAAAGAGTTTGGTTTGGAAGGGACCCTTAGAGGTCATCTAGCCCAAATTGCCCTGCGATGAGCAGGGACATCTCCAACTGATGAGGTTGCTCAGAGCTCAGTCCAACCTAACTTTGAATGTTTCCAGGAATGGAGCATCTACCACCTCTCTGGGCAATGCATTCCAGTGTTTCACCACCCTCATCGAAACAATTTCTTCCTCATACCTAGTTTAAGTCTCCCCTCTTTTAGTTTAAAATCACTACCACATGTCCTATTGGAACAGACCCTACTAAAAAGTTTGTCCTCCTCTTTCTTATAAGTCACCTTTAAGTATGGAAAAGATACCCATTGTTTCCATCTTTTCTTCTGACCCCAGCATTTCAGCTGATCCCACAACGCATGTAGGTAAATAAAACCCAACAATTTGTTTAAGGCTACCATCTGCTTTCAGGCTCTTCAGGCATGGTGTTCTTGAAACCATTCTTCAAAAATTTTGATACCTAAGAGGTTGTCCTCCAAACAGGTACAGAAACAGTACTTTGTAGTGGCCCCTGCTAGCAGTTTGCTTCTTCCTTTCAGTATTGGCTTGCTTTGGCCACCAAATGGTAGCATTGTTCTGGATGTTGCCTGCCACCCACATGCACTGAGAAAGCAATTGTGACATGAGACCAGGTATTTATTCCTGTATCTTTGAATCTAAGCTTATTAAGGTGCATTGACATATCTTGGCCCTCTGTGCTGAACTCTGTTCTGTGCTTTTACTCCTTAAAAGGGATAACTCGTATGAAGTGCAGATATACAACCTGTGGAGTAAGTTATTGTGACGGTGGACGGGTTAGCCAGGGGTTAAATAGCATAATGTGCCATCCTTATTCCTCCTAGTTGCCCAAAGCAAGTATGACTAGGAGAGTGTATGGAAAATGAGCTAGGAATTAGGAAAGGATGTAGAACTTGAGCTACTGACATCCCATGTGGACCTGTACTACTGTCACCAGAAAGGATGACCTCACACAACCCACACCTTTCTCCCCTCTGTATGCTTTGTAAGGAACTCCATTGACAGACTGTGTCATACCCTGGGCGGTGCCCCTGATCATGTTAGATTTTTAAAGGAAGTTTGCTGGGTTAGCAGAAATCAGAGTGGTGGAAGTCCATAATGACCGACTCGCCTCTTGTCATGGGAACATAATGGCATAACTTGTCAGAAAACTTGTGCTAATGGACTTTGTTGGAGATGGAGAGGTTTGCCATTAGATATTTGCATGGCTTTAGCTTGAGTTAGGAACAGATGAGAGTAATGACCTGGAGACAATCTAGCTGGGGAGTCATCACAAAGAAGAAAGAAGCTTTGTGGCTTCTAGACTACTGTTAACTCTACTCAGGTATCATCAAAGCGAAAAGGACTAGACTGGGTGCTCTAACTTGTCTGCTAAACTTCCCTGTACTCACTTTTTCCATGATTTTCAGCTATTAACATACTGCAATGAGAGTGCTCTGTCTTTTGTCTCATTTTATGCCCTCTTCACAATCTCCGTTTCATCCCTCTTATTCCTCTTTGAGGTTCTGTTGTCCCACACGTCCAGGGCGCAGAACAACAGAGATGCAAAGGTGATCTGGAAGGCCTTGACCACTGGAAGAGATGAGCCCAGACTGAGCATGACTAAAACATGCTGTGAAAGACAGGGACAGGGTTGAAAACCATGCCTACAACTGAGAGCCTGTTTCAGTGAAGAATAGCTGATCCCTTTTCAGGAGAAGTCTGCGTGGGGTTCCTTTTTGTTCCCTACCTTTTTCAGCTCATAATATTTATCTAGATTGATGTACGATTCTAACATTCAGATCCCAGTTCTATTTTCTTGTGCTGCCCCAGATTCACCACTGCCTGTGTAAGTGCTCTTTTTCTGTCAACAAAAGACTGTTGCCAGTGGGATTTCAGATTGGCCTTAGTGGTCAAGAAACCAGTGTCCTCCTTGGTTTTCTTCAGATGCCTTCACTTGCTTCTTTGGTACTGACCTTAGAGATTGTGGCATATGTCTCAGACAGCAGGGTCAGTATCCTCTTGCTCAGGTGGTTTTGGGAATAAAGAAGTGGCAGATTTAGAGAAAGAACTGAAAATGGTTTTTATCTACACTACACTTCTACTTTCTCTCCCTTTCTTATTTTTCAGTGATTTCCAACCCCCTGGTTTTGGTTTCTTTTTTTTTTTTTTTTCTCTGTTGATATCTCATCTTGCACTTACTCTAAAGCCAAGCAGCCGCTTACTGACAGACAGTTGCATCCTCTGAATGTCTCTTATCAACCAGCACAAACAGGCAGCAACAGAAATGTGCATGCCCTGAGAGAGGACTCTCCTCACCTGGATGATCACAAGCGTAAGGGGTATTCTCAGCTGGTAAACATCATTTCTCTGGAGGACTGGGGAATGTGTGATGTTACCTTGTACCTTGTACATCATGCCAGCTAAGCCATCATGCATTGTGTTCCCAAGTGCAGCTTGCTGCCTTGTCAGCCTGTGGAAACACGCTGTCTTCAACTGGATTTATGACACTGGTGGTTACTTCCAGGTCCTGACTATCACCTGAGCTCCTTGATACGTTTTGGGAACAGTAAATTGCCTCGATTTTGCTGCTGTCTGGCAATGAGCTGATATTGCACCCTGATGCCATTCTTCCCACTTGACTTTGAATGTAATTGCAGACATAGGTTTCATCTATGGCTGGTGCGGCACCGGCACTTCTGATTTATCTGACTTTGAGATGAGAAAGCTACATGTCTCCTTTAAGTTACAAGGGGCTGAGGCCTTTCTCTGTGTCTTATCTTGCAGATAGCCCTGTTAACAGCAGCAGAAAAATTCACAAAGTGTAGGGTAGGAAGGAGGATGAGGGCAGCAGGTCGAAGTCCTTAGTGACTCATGCTGAGATGAAATTGAGCCTGTACCTGTGTGCAAGGCAGACAGTGTAGACCTGTGCCATGCTCACAAGGCTTGCATAATTGGCTCCTACCTTTTGTACCTCAGTTGGAAGTTCATGTGTTTGCAGCAAAGCCCATCATCTGTTCCTGCTGATGCAGCTGTTGTCTTGACTCATCGTCTACCGTTTTAGGTCAACCGACAGAGTCCATTTAGGGATACAAGGGACTATGGTACCAGTCTGCAGGCAAGGATAAGCAGCCTGGCTGCCAGTCCTTACCAGCCATCTTCTGCTGTTTAGCCCTGTTGCATTATCTGAAGCACAGAGAATGCATACACTGTGCTCTGTGAAGTACATAGTACAGGGGTCTCAGACAGTATGAAATTTGGGAGGTCTGGAGCATAAGGCAGACTGTAGGGAGCCCTCTCCATCTTCTCATGCATCTCCATCTTCTCTTTGCTCGCTTGGTTGCTGCTCCAGCAATCATGCATGGCAAAAAGTGAATTTGGTTCAACAAAAATGTCTTCCGAGACTCTTTGCAGCACAACCCTTGTGTCTGCCAACAAGGTGTAGTTAATGAGGAGGGAGAGAAATTATTTAGGTGATTTTTCCTGCCCCCCAAAAAATCTCCTTATTGAACTATAATAGAAGACAATGCAGGCTGAATATCACAGGCAGAAATATCCTGGCTGTGAGACTTCGTAATCTTCCAAGGGAAGTGGTGGAAACCTTATCACTTAGGACATTAAAATAGGCAATACAGAACACGAGAAAAAAAGCTATTGTGAAATACCCTTAATTGGCAAGTAGGTGGATGCATACGGCTTCATGTATCTTTTACATTTATTAATCCTTCTTAGAGCTATCTTCTGCATCCTAAAGAAATATCCTTTGGTTGCGAGCACTTTGTCCCACAAGTAATTAAGCAGAAATTTCTCGGCTGAGAAAGTTGGGACTGTTCAGCCTGGAGAAGAGAAGGCTGCATGGAGACCTCATAGCAGCCTTCCAGTATCTGAAGGGGGCATACAGGAATGCTGGGGATGGACTCTTCATTAGGGACTGTACTGATAGGACAAGGGGTAATGGGTTAAAATTTAAAGAGGGGAAGTTTAGATTGGATATAAGGAGGAAATTCTTTCCTGTTAGGGTGGTGAGGCACTGGAATAGGTTGCCCAAGGAGGTTGTGAATGCTCCATCCCTGGCAGTGTTCAAGGCCAGGTTGGGCGAGGCCTTGGGTGATATTGTTTAGAGCGAGGTGTCCCTGCCCATGTCAGGGGGGTTGGAACTTGATGATCTTAAGGTCCTTTCCAACCCTAACTATTCTATGATTCTATGTGTCCTCAACTGGATGGAACTCAACCCCGGGATTCAGGATCTGCTTATAATTAACATTCCATAGTAAGACTCCACACCCTCTATTTGTCTCTTCCTAGTTATGTATTGGAAATGCGCATTTCTCCTACCATTAGAGCTTTCACCAGAAGGGTTTGAGCTGGGCTTTAAATCGCTTTCCACCTCAATTTAAATATTCCCTGTTATTTTAGGTTTGTAGACATTACACAAGTAAACCTTTTCTCAAGGCGTCATAGGGAAAAAAGCCACCTACTCAAAAAGACACAACTGCTGAGCTGCCTCCTGAGTTGACGATATCACTGATTTAAGCTGTGATCTGTTACCTCTTGTGGGTTTCAATACTGAAATGAAAGGTGTCACTCCTAATTAGCACAAAAGCCTCTGGATGCGAGGGGCAATTGTGAATGGATCTTCTTTCTGTGAAACTGTTTTTCCTGCCACTTCATTAGAGCAACTTTTTCATGGCAATATGGATGCTGGGGGTGCTTTTCATTGGGAAGGTTTGGCTGCAGTAGGAGATGGAGAAACAAACCGTTTCATCTTAGGATGAATGGGGGCTGTAACTGAGGTCTATCAGCAAGGGACTGAAAGGCTGGAGCTCCAGGTGTGATAACAAAGTCATGCCCATTGTACACTAGCCTTTAGCAAATTTACCAGTGACGTGTATCATGCTGCTTGCCTGTTCTCTCTGTCTATCCTTCAGCCTGTCCAAAGTCTTACGTTCCCTGAGCCTGCTGTGCCCAGGGTACGTGCTGAGGGAATATGTGGCTGGGTCATGACAGCATTCAGCCTGAACTTAGAAAAAAGCCTGAACAAGCACCCCTGGGTCTGCATCATCCTCCCATGCAGACCCCAGGAGGGTACCAAGGGATAGGGGAGGAAGCAGAGGTGTCAGCCCCCCTTTTGGTCAGAAATGGATGAGGCCCCCCACAGTGGAGCTCCGCTGGCTGGGTACCGCTACCACATGGCTGCCAGGGCTGTGCTGGGATAATGTGTGTCCGAGGGCAACCAAAACAGTTTGCTCCCAGACTCCACGTAGCTGTTAGTGCCCTTGACTGTAATAGCAATTAAAAGCAAACAAATCTGGATGAGTTCTGTGAGGCTGCCAGATCCCCACAGAGACACCCCAGCTTTCCTTTATGTTTTATATGGTAATGGGAAGCTCAGTGGTGAACTCTTTTCTGCTACTGGTAAATGGTGACATATGAGACGTTGCTCTGGAGCCAGTGGGTGAAACTGTGGCTCTGCTGAAGCCAGTGGCAAAACTCCCATTGACTTCAGCAAAGCCAGAGCATTTTGTGCAGTTATTTTCCATGTAGAATTCACTCAGGGTGATGTCCACCCCCAACACTTCTCTTTTTCTCCAATGATTAATACATTA